TAATATTATGTTCCACATACTTATGTACCTATAAATAATTAATTAGTACCCTTAGAGTGAAAACAGTACCAATAACATCAACAGATTAGCAGATTGTGCAATGCCCAATTGGATAATTCTATATGAGTGAAAACAACAGATAAATAAAAAAACAAACAAAAAAAAAACCTCTTTTATACTTAACTCCATTAACTTTCAATTCTTTATCTTAAGTGAGTCTATGTCTTCTTATCTTACTAATACATGTGAATAATTTACTTTTAACCACCTCATTAAATTAGAACTGATTAATACTTAGACATATTTGCTTTTAACTACTTTTTTCCACATAATTAATTAGTGCCCTTAAGGTGAGAACTGCCAACAATTACATCAATACACTTGTTAGTTGTTCATTACACACATAGAAAAAAAAATTTAAAAAAAATTTCTTCCATTATTTTATGCTTAGCTCCATTACTCTGTGATTCTTTACTTTAAATAAATCTATTTCTGCTTAACTTACTAATACATGTGAATAATTTTCTTTTAACCACCTTGTTAAGTTCAAGTCTAATTGATATTAATTCTTAGACATGTTTACTTATAAATCCTTATGTTCCACATGTTTATGTGCATATACCTAATTAATTAGTACCCTTAAAGTGAAAACGTTCACCAGTGACATCAACAGATTAGCAAATTGTGCGATGCACAATTGAATAATTCTATATGAGTAAAAACGGCAAAAAAAAAAAAAAAAAGAAAAGTTAATTCTTTTCTTTTCCCATTTCTTCCTCACTCTCTCCTCTCTCTTCTCATCTCTTCTCTCTTCCTTCCATCTTCCTCTCATCTCTTCCTTTCTATCCTTTTTCTCCACTGCAACGGACCCTTCAAGCTTTTTTATTGATACCTGTTAGCCAACTATTTGCTTCATTTGCATCCAAAAAAATTTTTCTTTCTTGTTTCCAAGTAAATCTTAAAGATGTTGGGTAAACCCATTGAAATCTGATCTCTGCTTTTCTTAAAAAATCTGTCACGATAGAGAAAGATTTCCTCCAAGTCCTGGTGTGATAAGATAAGTCTTGCAAGAAGATTATGTCCTTGTAAATAGAATTTGTTCGGGGTTTAATGCGGCTGGCTTTCATTAAATTATTTCTCATTGATAATGAGGAGAAACTCACTATTACATCTCTTGGGAGGTGTAAGGCTGTTGTGTCTGGTTTATGTATTCGGTGAAAATTTTCTATTTCATGTTCATCTGTAGGTATTTCTGGTGAGACTTCTTCAAATAAATTATTTAAATATTCTCTCAGTTTTTCATTGGAAATTTCTTCAGAAATCCCTCTTATTCTGATGTTTCTTTTTCTTGATCTGTCTTCCAAAGCTGCTATTTTATTTTCGAGATTGTCAACTTTATTTACTAGAAACTGCACCTCCGTATTGATTACTTTAATTTGAGTTCCAAACACTTCACATTTTTTTTCCACTTCCACCACTGATACTACAACATTTTTAATTTCTTGTTTTATCTCATTGAAACTTGCAAGCATTTCTTGTTTCAATATATTTAATTGTAATTCCAACATTTGCTTAAATTGATCTTGAATACTAATTGAAGCAATTGCTTGAGCTTCTGATAAAAATTGGTTAAGTGGAACTTCTTGATTAATATTGGAAGTATTACTCGGGTGTGTCTTTCCATCAATTATCTGTTCCTGCAGATCTTTAATGGGAGTAGCAAAAAAACCTGACAGCCTCTTTTCTGTTTGTTGAACAGCCTTAATTTCTTTCTTTTTTTCTGTTGTTTTCCTAGTTGACATTTTGTTTTTATTTCTTAAATGCTTCTCAATAGCAGATTATAGCTAGGTATCACATATGAAGTTTTAACTTTTAACTTAAGAATTAGATTAGATCAGTTGATCAAGTAATCAGATACTTAATGCCAGTCTCCTCCAACAAAAAAAGAGATTTCTTTCCACTTTTCTTTTTTCCAGGCCAGTAATTATATACAGGTGTGTTGCCTTACAGTAATGTTGTAGTATATACAAAAGTACTCACAGTTTTTATATGAAGCTGTTTGGAAAAATTGCTAAGGGATATATTTTCCTCCTTTTCCCTCTATTTCTCTCTTGTTCTTTCCTTCTTTGTTATTTTCTCTTTTTTTCCGTTTTTTTCTTTAGTAATTTATACAGGAACTGTTTTTATTTCTTCCTTGACCTTTTTAGTGGTCTATGGGGGAACCGCCGCTATTTCTCCAAACGAAGGCAATAAACCTCCAGCAAAAACACCGACCGGCATACACCACACCACTCCAAACCAGGTCCAGCGACCAAATCGTCACCGAGCCCTCCCTCCGCTTCGTTCACTTCAATCCCCACCAAGCCGGACCGCATTTACAGAACGGCACGGAGTGGCATTGCTTTGCTTGCTTTCCTCTCGTCTCCGCGTCCTCCTCTCCTCTCCTCAACCTCCCTCCGGACACGCCCACCTGAAACACGTGCGGCGTCTCACGTCATCTCCCAAGCCAATTTGGATGATTTTGACATATGTTTGTTTTAGGAGTATGCTGATTCTGAAAATGTATGTGAATGTTTTATGTGAATGTGATGCATACTTTTCAAGTTATGAATAATGTGGAAAAACTGTATTTCTCTGTCTGTGAAAATTGTATTATCCATTGTGTTACACACTCACTCTTGTTCTCTCTCACACACTCACTAAATTCTGTCACAAAGTCCTTTTTAAAATGTTTTACCCCCTTTAGTGTATCTTATCCCCTATTTTTCCCCATTGTGTGTCTTACACCTTCCTGGTGTATTTTTTATAACCCCCCCCTTTGTGTGTTTCCCTTTTACCACCAGCCTGTCTATCTCCCCCCAGCTCCTCTGTGTCTCTATTTCCTCTTCTCCCGCCCATCGGTGACTCTTTGACCCCCATGTGTCGCTTTAATCCCCAACCCCTCTGTGAATTTTCTGATCCCCCCACCCCCAAGCCTATCTGTGCATCGTTCTCCCTCCTCAGGCCCCCTTGTGTGCCACCCCCCCTGTCTCTTAGTGACCTTCTCCCTTCTCTTTTACTGGTCCCCCCTACGCCAGTTTTCATTTACCCTGTACCTTAGTGCCCCTCCCTTAATGTTCCTTTCTCTCCCCCACCAGTGTTCCCCTCACCTCCATCTTTTTTAGTGTTCTTCCTCCTACCCTATCCCATAGTGTTTCTCTCTCCCCTGTCCATTATGATCTTTGCCCTCTCCCCATAGTTTTCTCCCCCACTCCCCTGTCCCATAATGTTCTTTTCCCCGTACCATTTTGTTCTCCCAACCCCATAGTGTTCTTTCCCTCCCCCATCCCATAGTATTCTCCCTGCGGTCACATAGTGTTGTTTCCTTCTCCCCCTCCCTCCCGTCCCATATTGTTCTTCTTCCCTCCCCCGTCCCATAGTGTTCTTTCCCCCCTTCCCATGGTGTTCCATAGTGTTCTTTCCCCCCACTCCCTTGTCCCATGGTGTTCTTTACCACCCCTCACCTGTCCCATATAGTTCTCCCCCCACTCCCCTGTCCAATAGTGTTCTTTCCCCCCTCCCATATTATTTCCCATCCCCCCCTCCTGTCCCATAGTGTTCCTTGCGGTTTCCTCTCATCCCATAGTGTTCCTTACCACCACCCCCCATCCCATAGTGTTGTTTACCATCCACCCACCGTCCCTTAGTGGCCCCCCTCCCGCAGTGTGTCTCCTACCTCTCTTTGTAGCTGGCCGAGCAGAGCAGACAGCGCTACAGGAGCTTCAGTTTCCTGTACCCGGTCGGACTGGCAGGAAGTGCTCTCCTGTACTGTGGTGCACACTGCTCAGCTCAGCCACGCTACACAGAGTCACTGGCAGGAGGACGCGCTGTGCGCCCACCTCCTACTGGTCACTCCATTCTAGCACTCCCCGGGCCGGTGGGCCCTAGGAACCACTTGTGCCGCCTTATGGATGCGCCAGTCCTTCTCTTTCTCTCCCACACTCACTGTCACTCTCTCTCCCACACATTCAAATGCTGACTCACACACTCACTTTCTGTCTCTCTCCCATACACTCACTCAATGAGTGTCACTCTACACTCTCTTTGTCTCTTACATTGTGCTTTTATTTAAACACATTTTAAAACCAAATGCAGCAAAACTAAAACATCAATTTATAAAACAAAAACCAATGGAATAATACAAGTGAGGCACAATCAGAAGAATTATTTGTGCTGGTACCAAGGTGCGATCCAGGTTTAATGAAGGACAGTCTTAATGCAGCAAACGTTTTGTGTCCTTTATTATTCAGGTCTTCTGACACAATGCATTGATAAAGGGTAAAAGCCCCAAACGTTTGCTGTACTAAGACTGTCCTTCATTAAACCTGGATCGCACCTTGGTACCAGCACAAATAATTCTGGTTACGAAAAACCTCCTTTCTTCGCTTGTGTTTCTGTGAATAATACACGTCCATTAATGTAAAAGTCCAGATAAGGGTTTACCGGATGCATTTTGACAAAGGCCTTTTCAAAATAAATAAACTATATCTGTATATATTTTATAAAGTACTTTTAAGGTTCTTGCTCTAGGTTATGCAAGTAAAATATTTTATATCCATCTCTGGCAATTTCTTTTAAACTACACTATTGGATATTCCTTTTTTTATCTTTACATATCAAGCTGATATTTGGAGAGGAGATTATAGATTCCGCTTTACTACGCTTCATTATATATTCACTTGTGTGAATTATTACACTAGTATTTCTTTTTTTATTTGTATTAAGTAACATGTATGTCCAAGTGTACAGGGCTGCAGTATTTGTTGGCGCTTTTTAAATAATAATAATGAAAAGATACACATTTATTCATGTATGTAGGCCATTTGTGTAACTCAATAGATCTTTTAAAGTTAGGCACTTATTAATCTTTGGTTTGCTAAATATAGTTACAAAGTAGTGGGAACCCTTGCTTTTGTTTGGTTAACAGCAGCTGGGTTTTTTATTTTATTATAGTGAGCACCTTAACTCTTTTCTGTTTTAGATTCATTGGTATTGTGCACCCTTTTATGACAATTAAGGTAGCCTTTCCGAGAAAAACATTTCCCACATTCAGAACATGAAAATGGTTTCCCTATTGTGTGAATCTTCATGTGGCTATCACGTTTGGTTTTATGAGTGAAACATTTCCCACATTCAGAACATGAAAATGGTTTCTCTCCTGTGTGAATCATGAGATGTTTATTTAAGTTGCCTTTCAGATTAAAACATTTCCCACACTCAGAGCAGGAGAAAGGTTTCTCTCCACTATGAATCCATTGATGCGCAATAACAGATTTTTTCTGTCTAAAACATTTCCCACACTCAGAGCAGGAGAAAGGATTCTCCTTACTATGAATCTGTTCATGGGCAATAAGCTTTGATTTATGATTGAAACGTTTCCCACATTCAGAACATGAATATGGTTTTTCTCCTGTGTGAATCCGGAGATGTGTATAAAAGTTGCTTTCTTGAGTGAAACATTTCCCACATTCAGAACATGAAAATGGTTTCCCTATTGTGTGAATCCTCATATGGCTATCACGTTTGGTTTTATGAGTGAAACATTTCCCACATTCAGAACATGAAAATGGTTTCTCTCCTGTGTGAATCATGAGATGTTTATTTAAGTTGCCTTTCAGATTAAAACATTTCCCACACTCAGAGCAGGAGAAAGGTTTCTCTCCACTATGAATCAGTTGATGCGCAATAACAGATTTTTTCTGTCTGAAACATTTCCCACACTCAGAGCAGGAGAAAGGATTATCCTTACTATGAATCTGTTCATGGGCAATAAGCTTTGATTTATGATTGAAACATTTCCCACATTCAGAACATGAATATGGTTTTTCTCCTGTGTGGCTCATTAAATGAAGTATAAGAGCTGAAATGGTTTTAAAGCATTTGTCACATTCAGAACAAGAATGTTTTAGTTTTTTCTTTTCTCCACTGTGAATGATATGTCGCTTGGGAAGAGATTTTGCCTGAATCGGTTTTTCATGTTCGATACGGGAACATGATTTAGATCCTTGGCGAGTATTGCAAAATCCAATAATGTGTGATTTTGATTGAAAGCACTGATGTCCCATGAAGTTTGTTTTACAGGTGAATGTTTCCCTGCATTCAGAACAAGTCACTTTCTTCCCTTTACGGAATCTCTGATATTTTATTTGATTTAAATTTGTGGGTGAAATTTTATAACCATCAAAGTTATTGGGATCTATTTTGTATTGTCTCACAGGATCACAAGGAGAGGTTTGAATGTCCAGATCACCGAGACTTCCTTCTTCACACAAGGCTGAATCCTCTGTAATAGGAGTAAATGGACATTCTGTCTGTGTAAGTTCTGTGGGTGTATAAATGTCAGTGACTGTGACGTTTCCTTCGTCACATAAGGCTGGTTCCTCCTTAATATGTGTGGATGGATAACATATATGTTCTGTATGGGAACACATGCCAGTGTCTGTGAGATTCCCTTCCTCACATAAAGCTAGCTCATCCTGAGATGGATATTCTGTCTGTTCTCCGTGTGTAATAATGCCAGTGTCTGTGAGATTCCCTTCGTCACATAAGGTTGGCTCCTCCTTAATAGGTGTGGGTTGATAATGTATATGTTCTATGAGTGTATAAATGGCAGTGTTTGTGAGATTCCCTTCTTCACATGAGACTGGATCTTCTTTAATATGAGTTGATGGATATTCTGTCTGTTCGCTGGGTGTATACATGACAGTGTCTGTAAGGTTTTCCTCTTCACGTGAGATTGGATCATCATTAATATGAGAAGATGGATATTCTGTCTGTTCTCTGGGTGTATACATGTCAGTGTCTGTGAGGTTTTCCTCTTTACATGAGATTGGATCATCATTAATATGAGAAGATGGATATTCTATCTGTTCTCTGGGTGTATACATTTCATTGTCTGTGAGGTTTTCCTCTTTACATGAGATTGGATCATCATTAATATGAGAAGATGGATATTCTGTCTGTTCTCTGGGTGTATACATGTCAGTGTCTGTGAGATTCCCTTCGTCACATAAGGTTGGCTCCTCCTTAATAGGTGTGGGTTGATAATGTATATGTTCTATGAGGTGTATAAATGTCAGCGTTTGTGAGATTCCCTTCTTCACATGTCACAGAATTTCCTCCCTGATCAACTGCGACTCTACCTTTAGTCACACAATTTGCTGACAGAACATGGATGGGTAAATCATCCGTTTCACTTGTGTTTAGAGAGCCATCTGCTGGAAAGAAAAGAAATAGAATTACAAACCTTCCTTTTATCTCTCTCACATTGTGAGTACTGTAAATACACTACAAGGTAAATGATCCAGGATGTGATAGTAAAATATTGAACAATGCTGTTTCAAGGTAACTGGTACATTTATTTAGAATTAGAACCTAACTTACAGTCTATAACAGGGGTAGGCAACCTTCGACACTCCAGAGTTTGTGGACTACATCTCTGTAATGGTCAATGATTTATTATGGTCTGATACATTAGATATCACTTAATACAGTTTATTATGATGAGTGCCATTTTAGAATTATACCTCTAGGGGGAGTATTGAGCAGCTTTTTGAAGACTTTTATTGTCTGTGCCATGCAGCCAAGATGGATGCCGGACTCCTCCATATGAAATGACATACAGGGATTGGGTAAGGAAAGTCACATACTCAGTCCCTTTATATGGTGAAGCCACATGCTGGAGAGCAGAACCATTTTTACCCGACTAGCAGAGAACATCTTGCAGCAGGCTGTCCAATGGTTCTCCTTGTGAGCTGTGTTTGGCACTGATAATAATAAGCAACGATACAATATATTTAAGTTTAAATCATTGTAGTTTCATTAAATTATTATTTAGTGCTCTCATTAAACTAAACGCATATTTTAGGATAACAGTTTGGTGGGGCAAAATCATTTTATTTCCTATACAATGGTTAATGTGTATATAGCCGTGTGATGTTATTGCAGTTTAGATTTGTTAGTTTTGTTATTGTTATAAAATTGCAGCTGTAGTATTGCATAGAAACATAGAGTGTGACGACAGATAAGAACCATTCGACCCATCTAGTCTGCCCAATTTTCTAAATATTTTAATTAGTCCCTGGCCTTATCTTGTAGGTAGGATGTCCTTATGCTATCCCACGCATGCTTAAACTCCTGGAAGGCTATTCCATGCATCCACTACCCTCTCAGTAAAGTAATACTTCCTGATATTATTTTTAAACATTTGCCCCTCTAATTTAAGACTATGTCCTCTTGTTGTGGTTGTTTTTCTTCTTTTAAATATAGTCTCCTCCTTTACTGTGTTGATTCCCTTTATATATTTAAATGTTTCTATCATATCCCACCTGTCTCGTCTTTCCTCCAAGCTATACATGTTAAGATCCTTTAACCTTTCCTGGTAAGTTTTATCCTGCAATCCATGAACCAGTTTAGTAGCCCTTCTCTGAATTCTCTCTAAAGTATCAATATCCAGTACTGTGTACTGTGAAGCTGCAGGCTAAAGTGAATATGCCACCATTGGATCACCAGGGCTTGCAGCATTATGTCCCTCATCCCCGGTAAAAGGTAAGAAGAAAGGAGGGGGAGACATCAACATGAATTTTCACATCTCACCCACCTAAACAGAGCAGCATAGACCCTATGCATCCTTCACACACAAACACACACAGCCCCCCTCACACACACAAAAAAAAGTAGAATAGAAAAAAAATGATTTAACCTGTGGCAAACCTAGCCATTTGGACATTATTTAAGTACTGTCGCTTTAAGGGTTGCCTGTATGTTTTTCGTGTTATGTGTGTTCCAGCGTATAATGTAATGCAATTGTATAACTGTATTTCCTGCATTGGCTATCTATGTTTGGATTGGGAGCAGTACTGAGCCAAGTTGGACCAGATGGCGGCGAGCACCCCGTAGCTTATCTAAGCCGAAAACTTTTACCCAGGGAAGTAAGCTACGCCGCCATTGAAAAGGAGTGCCTGGCTGTGGTGTGGGCCCTCAAAAAGTTGCAGCCATATTTATACGGACAACCCTTTACACTCCTCACGGATCACAACCCGTTGGTGTGGCTGAACAGGGTGTCAGGAGACAATGCCAGGCTGCTGCGCTGGAGTTTGGCGCTGCAGCCTTTTGACTTTACAATACACTATCGCCCTGGGAAGCAAAATGGCAACGCCGACGGGTTGTCCAGACAAACAGACTTGGAGCCGTGATCCGTGAGTGCTCCTCCGGACATCCCCAAGCCGATCCATTGGGATCAGACTGTGTATGCCGGCTTGGTTCTGGGGGAGCATTGTGGCAAACCTAGCCACTTGGACATTATTTAAGTACTTTCGCTTTAAAGGTTGCCTGTATGTTTTTCGTGTTATGTGTGTTCCAGCGTATAATGTAATGCAATTGTATAACTGTATTTCCTGCATTGGCTATCTGCCGAAAACAGATAGCTGATTTCCTTTCGTTTCACGAACGGCGCATTTGCGGGCCGTTCGTGAACCGAATGAACCATCATTTAATAGCCCACACACTTAGAGACGTGTGGCGCTTATTAACCGATTGCAACAATGTTGCAATCGGTAATTAGAGGCTCTCCAAGGTGGCCGTCGTTCGACTATCGACCATGCGGCGGTCGGCCATCTTGGATCTTTTGTTCCCTCAGCTGTGTTTGGTCGTCGAGCGCATGGTACTAAAAACGGCTACTCGACGGCACGAACACCGCTGAGCTTCCAGGCCGTTCGGGAGGTCCGGGCCGTTCGGTATCCTGTTCCCTTGCATGCAATCGGTCTTTTGAAGATATGTTTTAATGAATGTGTTTTTCGTGCGGCGTTCGGTTGTTTTAGCTGGGATGTGAGCGGTAATCTCACGAATGATGCGCTCAGACCCCAGCTATATACCGAACATCCATTAGTGCAAATAGACCGTATATTCAAAGAGTTATACATTTTAATATAAATTGTCAGTTCTGCTGTACGGAGGGATAATCCACTTAACGGTACATTCCTGTGGGAGGATCACTCTCGTGCAGCAGTGCCAGATGGGAGAAATGTCTTGTACAATAAGTCCCCCATGTAGTCCCCTCTGGGAATGCCCCTGGGAGGGGACTCAGGAAACCCCTTGCATGGGGACTTGTATAAATTGTGGAGCTGAAAATAAAGACCTCAGTTGACTCCCAGCCTATGTGTCGTCTAGTTCTTGGGAAGGAAGGGTTACTACAGTGCTACTTGGATTCCTGCATGCTGATTCCCCTGGATTATCTTTTGTTGTTCCTGTTACCCAGCGGAGATAGTGTGGATTATACTGCCTCTCCACTACGTAACCCCTTAAGGACACATGACGTGTGACATGTCATGATTCCCTTTTATTCCAGAAGTTTAGTCCTTTAGGGGTTAGAGGAACACTATAGTCACCTAAACAACTTTAGCTTAAAGGAGCACTATAGGGTCAGGAACACAAACATGTATTCCTGACCCGACAGGGTTAAAACCACCATCTAGCCCCCGTACCCCTCATGCCTCCCTAAATATGGTCAATTCTTACTTGTATTCAAGTCTGGAGCTGCTTGTTTGTCACTGTTTCCTTTGACCTGCCCACTGCCTGCTGACATTATCAGAAGTGGTGGCCTGATCCAATCACAATGCTTCCCCATAGGATTAGCTGAGACTGACAAAGAGGCAGATCAGGGGCAGAGCCAGCACAATTCAAACACAGCCCTGGCCAATCAGCATCTCCTCATAGAGATGAATTGAATCAATGAATCTCTATGAGGAAAGTTCAGTGTCTGCATGCAGAGGCTGGAGACACTGAATGTTTGGATGCATTTTAGGCAGCCATGACCCAGGAAGGTTCTCAAACAGCCATCCGAGGAGTGGCCAGTGAAGTTATCACTAGGCTGTAATGTAAACACTGCCTTTTCTCTGAAAAGACAGTGTTTACAGCAAAAAGCCTGAAGGTAATGATTCTACTCACCAGAACAAATTCAATAAGCTGTAGTTGTTCTGGTGACTATAGTGTCCCTTTAATGATGCAGTTTTAGTGTATAGATCATGCCTCTCAGGTTTTACTGCCATTTAGGTGTTAAATCACTTTGTTTCTGTTTATGCAGCCCTTGACACACCTCCCCTGACTATGATTGACACAGCCTGCATGGGGAAAAAAATAAATAAAACTGGTTTCACTTTCAATCAGATGTAATTTACTTTAAACCTTTTATCTCTTGCTCTGTAAATTGAACTTTAATCATATTCAGGAGGCTCTTGCAGGGTCTAGCAAGCTATTAACACATAGTAGGGGATAAAAAAATACAAATTAAACAACTTGCAATAAAGAAGGGATAAGCTTTAGATGACTCTTTACAGGAAGTGTTTAGGAAGTTTGTGTAAGTTATATGCAGGGAGGTGTGACTAGAGTTTTAAAACAAAGTGATTTAAATGGCAGAGAATTGAGCAGTGAGGCTACAGGGACATTTTCTATACACTAAAACTGCTTCATTAAGCTAACGTTGTTTTGGTGATTATAGTGTCCTTTAAGTACTTTTCTTTTTTTTTTTTATCTTTCGAAAAAAATAATTGTTACTGTGGCACTGGTGGGCGGTAAGGAAATGTTACCATCAACAAAGATACAAAAGTGGGCAGTAGGTAGTAAAAGGTTGGCTACCTCTGATCTAAATCATTTGCCATTTGTCTTATCCCTCCTGGAACATCAACCCTGTTACATATCTTCGTATCATCAGCAATGCATTGTAAGTTAAAGTATGTAAGTTTTGACAACTGTTGTGTGTATATATTGTAACGGACCTCCCTGTAACCTGGCTGGATACCCCCGACCACTTCCTAGCTGGAACAGGGGACAAACCACAGCACTTTTATCCACAGTCGCTGCGGTTTGACTGGGGCCCTGGAACCGTTCTCTCCTGGAGCCGAATGGGGAATTCGCTCTAGACAACCCCAGGCACTGGACGACACTCAGTTCTGGGAGCTCTAGTCCTTACAAGGACTTTCCCCGTTGAATCCTCCACACTAGAACAGTGATTAAAGAATAGTCCTTTCCCCTCCAAGTAACCAGACGACACATAGTTCTGGGAGTTCAAACTGGAATACTTTAATGGCAGCCACAACTTGCCTTATATGCATGTCCCCATGCAAGGGGCACTCCCTCGTGGACCTGAGAGTAAACCACAGTTGAAACATAAAAAACAATTACATTGGCTCTGAGATTCAGGACACTACCATACATAATCAGATAATCCCTCATCTATGCCTGGGAGATAATTGGATCAGGAACTGTTCTAATCTAATCCAAAAGTACCCTAAAAATACATAAAACCCCCACAAAAGTTACATCCACTGATAGCCCTGATCTGGTTGACCAACATATCCAAAAATCACCCATATCAGTTCAGGGGTTCAGGAATTTCCTGGAAGTCATAATTTGACCGACCGTGCACATGGTCCTATGTCCAAAACAGTTCCATAAAATCAGTGCTAACGGTCGGACAAGTTTGGTAGTCTTTGACACGTTTCCCTGCAGGGCCCTTGGTCAGTAGGCTGGCAAGCAAGCTCCTCCAGGAGCTCGTGGCAAACTCATGTGGGAAGGGGAGTTTGTCACATATTGTGGCGAAAATAACCTCGCCACTGGTTCTTGGAAGGGCGTGCTTGTCAGCCTCTTGCCCCAGGACTATGGCCCCTGCAATAGACCTGGCTAAAATACTTTCAAAAGACTCTGTTCGTGCAATTGGGACTATATGGTTCGGTTACCGAACAACCGCAGGAACTGGCGACCATCCTGGAGCTTGTTCAGCCTAATTGATACTTTGTATATATGAGAAAACAAGGGGCTGGCTGCACTCACCTGAACATGCTTAAATTAGGTGCTACTGGGGGCCAATAAGTACAGTAAAAATGAAAATTCAGCGCACTCCCTTATCTACTAAACAGCTACTTTGGTGCTGACCGATATTTCTAGTTTTATTAAAAACACCTAATCTAGGCAAAAAATAATGGGGGTTTAGTTACATTATATGATCATCTTTGGCAGGTCCTACTCTAACAGCCAAATGTCTACTAAATGAGCTACTCACTTGGGGAAATACTTCCATCTCAAATTCTCTGCGGTACAAGGCTAAATAGGGTCCTGAGATGAAGCACCTGTGACAAGGAGGGGTGCTGAACCAAGGAGCTGGCTAGTTTGACTTTTTTGCCCATAACGGATATGGGACTTTTTCCAGCTTGCCTTCACTTTGGTGATCGAAGGACAGGAAGTGATACAGTCGCGCTGCGTCACATGACGTGTGCGACGTGCTGACACGGACATGCCACGCCGGAAATGGGAAGAATTACAGCTGTGTTGAGTCGAAGACTGATTTTAAATGGTACTTATTGCAACTAAGGAGAGAGCACTTCAGCACTGAAGAAGACTCCAGCTAGAATTGAAACATGTCTTCTGATGGATACCTTTATTTATTGCTTTTTGGGACTTTCTTTTTTTACTCTATTTGCGGTGTTTGTTTAGGCTATATGCCCTGTACATTTATCTTTATATTTTACACTGCTCCAATTGTCCCTTATTTTAACTGTAAACCCAATAAATATCTGTTTCATCATATCTGATTCCTGTGCAGCTCTCCATTCAGGATGCCGTTTTAGCCTGGTCAGGCACCCTACTGCGCATCATAGAAACATAGACAAGAGGGTGGAATTCAGGCTCATGGTTGAACTACCCGCAGAAGTGCTGCTCGGCAATGACTTGGGCCACCTCATCTCCACCTATGTGCACCCCCAGACCCCAGAGGAGACATACCCAGTGATGAGCAAGCAGCAAGCCCGCACCACCCAGCATGGCTCACAATCTGAGGCTCACGTAGACACACATGCCCATCCCCATCTCCCCGCTCCATGTAGTTGCCCCTGTAAGTGGGCCCCCCCTGGGCTAGACCCCCTACCCTGGCCCCTTTTCTTTGGGATACCTGTGCCGAGTTTGGAAGGGAAGTAGTATCCAACCCTACCCTCCAGACGAATAGGGATAGGTCGGACACTGGTCAGGGGAAGAAAGATGGGGGAACGGTTTATCTGGGATCGGGGCTTGCTATACAGCATTGCGGAGAAAGAGAAGTCAGGAACAGCTCCTACTACCACCAAAAAGCTGGTGGCAATATTACCAAAATAGTGCGCTATTACTGAAGATGGTAAATCTGTAAATAAGCAAAGAAAAATATGTTGCAGATGGTATAAATAAGTCGTATATAGGAGGGGGTGGGAGGAAAGAACTTACATGGACCAGAGCCCTATCACCCCTGGCTCTGGGTTTGCAAGACTCCACTTGAGTGGGAAAATCCCACAATCTGTAGATGAAGGCTGTATGCTGGATACTATAAGGCCAAAACAATTACTTTGGAGAGCAATAAACTTGCTCTGGTGTTATAAAGCCTTGGTGGTATAATCCCCACCCAAAGATGTGTAGGAACCAGGATAGTTGTTTAACAACAAAACAACAAATTGGATATGATGTTATAGACAATACATTTTATTTATATATATATATATATATATATATATATATATATATATACCCTGTTCCAAAATATTATGCAAATTATATTTTTCTCATTTACCTAAATAATTGATGTAAATAACAGTCAGCATAATTCTCATGTTATCAACTATTAAGAGTACAATTCAAATTTTATTGAACAAATCTCCTAATGATAACAGTATTATTTTTTTTTGTAAACATAAAAAAACTTACAATGCACTGTTCCAAATTATTACGCACAGTAAGTTTCAAAACACTTTATAGGTTGTAAAGAACTGAAAATTGTCATTTGTTGTATTTGCAGCATATTTACTGAAATAAAAAGCTATTTCAACCAAACTTATAACAACATTTTAACTTTTTAAACATTTTAATAGGTCATGTTACATTTTAACATATGACTCCTTATTTGATAGCAGCTTCACAAGTCTTGCATTCATTGAACTTGTGAGTTTTTGGACAGTTTCTGCTTGAATTTGTTTGCAAGATGTAGAATAGCCTCTCGGAGCTGCTGTTTGGATGTAAATTGCCTCCCACCATCATAGATCTTTTGCTTGAGGATGCTCCAAAGGTTCTCAATAGGATTGAGGTCAGTGGAGGATGGAGGCCACACTATGACTTTCTCTCCTTTTATCCTCATAGCAGCCACTGATGCAGAGGTATTATTTGCAGCATAAGATGGTGCATTGTCATGCATGAAGATTTTATTACGGAAAGCATAGTTCTTCCTTCTGTACCAGGGAAGAAAGTGGTCAGTCAGACCACATACTTTGCAGAGGTCATCTTTACACCTTCAGGGACCCTAAAGGGGCCGACCAGCTCTCTTCCCATGATTCCGGCCCAAAACATGACTCCACCACCGCCTTACTGACGTCGCAACCTTGTTGGAACAAGGTGGCCGTCCACCAACCATCCACTACTCCATCCATCTGGACCATCCAGGGTTGCACGGCACTCATCAGTAAGCAGGAGTGTTTGAAAATTAGTCTTCATGTATTTTTCTGCCCAATGCAGCCGTTTCTGCTTGTGAGCATTGGTTAGTGGTGGTCTAATAGAAGGTTTATGCACAGTTGCAAAATTCTGGAGGACTCTACACCTTGATGTCCGTTGGACTCCAGAGGCACCAGCAGCTTCAAATATCTGTTTGCTGCTATGTAACGGTATTTTAGAAGCTGCTCTCTTGATCCGATTCATGGATCTGGCAGAAATCTTCCTCAATGTGCCTTTATCTGCACGAACCCGTCTGTGCTCTTTATCAGCCACAAATCTCTTAATAGTGCGATGATGAAATATCTAATGTTTTCATACCTCGTCCAAGACATTGAACTATTTCACTCTTTTCGGCAGCAGAGAGATCCTTTTTCTTCCCCATATTGCATGAAAATGGTGCTCTGCTTAATAATGTGGAACACCCTCCTTTAGTAGTTTTTCCTTAAATTGGGCTCTCCTGGCAATCTAATTATCACAGGTGTCCGAGATTGTGATCAAAAGAGCCCTAAGACACAATGCCATCCATGAGTTAAACTGAAAAACAAAATATTTAATCTTTGTGACACTTACATAGAATTTGCATAATAATTTAGAATAGGTTTTATGTGTGTTTTCCCCCTGTGTGAATGTTAGGTTAGAACATTCACACCTCACGTTCACACCTCGCAACATAGTGGCAAACCGCAAAGGAAAACAATTAATGAGTGCTCCCCTAAGTGGCCGCCATTCGTACAAATGAACGCCAGCAAAAAGGGAGCATTTGTGGATTGTTTCCTGACTCGTTTGTCTCCCGAACGAGGACCTCCCTGGTGCCCCATTAGAACGTTCAAACCAATTAATCAGAACGTTCACATCTACAACATAGGTGTGAAACCGCAAGGGAAGTAATTAATGAGTGCCCTCATGAATGCCAGCCAGGGGTAGCAGTCATACCCCGAAAGGAGAGGCTTCCCTTGTCTGGGTTTCACACCGGGACCTCGCTAACAAAGGCTATTCATGAGAGGAGCCGTGGAGAGGATCCCTGAGATTGGTTTTGGTACTTTTGGGGCACTGGCAAGTTTGGCAGGCTTCTCCCGATTCTGAGGGACAAAGAGACCCGCTCTTTTTCTGGTGGCAGGCTTTCCTGTGACTGGAAGACAAAGGGATGGTTCCTTTTACCCGCGCCTGGATTCCCAGGCACAGGGGCTCCTTGGAAGAAGGGGTGGGAAACCCTGTGGTTGTAATGGCGGGCTCTGGGGACAGAGTCCCTTCCTGCGCCAGGGTCCCTGTATACTTTTGTGTGCTTGCATGGGGTATGCATAAGAGCTGTGTGTGGCCAATAAAGTGTTGTTGTACCTCCAGGACTGTGTGTCGTCCAGTTACTGGGGGAAAATTGGTCTCTTTGTACTTTAAATGGTTCCTGACCAACTGAAGGAAGGAAAAGCTGAGGTAACAGGGCAGGTTACTCAGGATCCACTACACTCACCATACACTAGGAAGAAGTGTGCCTACACATAACCAGATCTAGAGAGGAACAAGGTTCAATAGAAGTGTAAGAAAAGTATTAAACAAAATGAGACATAGCCAGACATGCAGTGGCGTACCTAGCCTATATTTGGCAGCCCCCAACTTTAAAATGTAAAACAGACCCATAAAATGTTTTTAATGTATTTAGCACTGAATAGTGTTTGAATGCAAGCATGTTTTGTATGGAGTTTGAGTGAGTGAAAGAAATGTTGGCATTTGAATGCAGGTGCGCAAGTGTGTAGTGTTTGTTTTAAATATGGTGGTGTGTTTATATGTAGTGTTTACATCTGAATGCAGGGGTGCATTTGTGTGTAGTGTTGGCAAAATGCACATATACACATGCAGATACATAGACACACAAATGCACACTGACAGACAAACTGACACGCATGCAGGTACACAGACACACAGTCATACACAGATACAGACACACACTAACACATGCAGCTACAGAGACACAAAAAACACACATACAGATACACAGACAAAAATGCAGACATACAGATACATAACTACTGAGACAAAGGAGGTAAACACAGGCAGATACACAGACACACACAAATGCAAATACACAGAGACATACATACAGATACTGACAAACACCCGTACATATTATCATATACAGACACACATGGTTGCTGTATGCGTATAGTTTATGCAGTGTGTGTTTGTGTATGTAGTGTGTTGTGTTTGTGTAGTGTATGCAGTGTGTGTGTGTGTGTGTGTGTATGTATATAGTGTTGAGCAGTTTGTATTTAATGGAATTATTACCCCCTCCTTGCCTCTTACTTGTGTCCAGGAAGGGTGGACATTGGATGCCCTGGTGGCACAGCACTATTCTCCTATGAAGAGGGGGCCCTGCAGTCTCCACGTTGTTGCAAAAGTGTTGCTGTGGGTTGTCATGGGAACGCTTTGGTGTGTCACACTGGGCAACCCACGTCAACGCTCTCACAGGTTGCGAAAATAGAGGTCCTGCTGAAGGTGGAGCGGCAAAATTCCGCACCAAGCAAAGGCGCCCCGGGCACCCCCATAATGAGTGGCACATGGGGCAGACCCCCTTTTAGTTAATCAATATGTACTGGGACCAATTGCGACAAGTTATGTCTAAAGGGGCGTGTACAAAGGGCTGGCTCCCTAAACACGGTATGAATTAAGATGCAGTTAATCACAGAAGCACTTAAATAGAATATAAATAACTCATCTTAGTTCAAAAGCCTGGGATGAATTAACACTATACATCAGCAAGCTTTCCTCAGAGAGAAAGAACGAAAGAAACACAATTTGTACCCTTTTATCCCCATTAAACCCCAAATGTATCATGGCCCTATTTACCAAGATTTAAAGTGATAGAGCAACAGGACAAAATTAACTATTGGTTAATTAGAGTAAACTCATAATATGGCCAAAAGAGGGTTACGGAAACAACAAGCGTGTAGGGGACAGATGGATGTAGCGGAGAGCTGGTCTCCCACAGCCTATTTCCACTGGTATCCTAGAATGGCTCAGGAACAAGTAGTAAATCCAATAGAGTAGCAAGCACAATCAGCAATATAATCCACGAATATCCCATCACCTTCCCAATAACTGGACGACACATAGTATCAGGAGCAGAACTGACCTTTAATCACACAAACCCTGCTTTTATGCCTCTCTCCCATGCAAGGGAGACACCCACAATAATTAGTACAGTAACCAATAATATTACAGTAACCACCCACAATTCTCCTCCCCTAAGATAAGCATTTAACATAATTAGCAAGTACACACTTCTCCCCGGGTTCTAGATGTACCCCAAATACTTAGGGTACACCCTTAAATATGGTATCCCGTGATCTGGGAGAGCAAAATATTCAAAAGGTTATGGAGTTATGGAGGTTTAAAGTTTTGACGGACCGCACAGGCAACAGTAGCCGAAAATAGTTCCATAAATTTTGGCCTTGCGGTCGGTCTCTTTTCATGTTTAAAAAGTCCCGAAATACATGCCATCCAGAGTTGATCTTGTATTCGCATAAATCCCTTAGTGTGAGAGAGTCTTTCTACCGAACGGCGGGTGTGTTTAGTGTGTTTTAGCACGAATCTATGGGAGTCTGGAGGTCTCAGCGGTGTTTGCTTAGTCGAATGTCTGATTTTAGTTCTAGACACTCGACGGCAAAACACAGCTGTTTGGGAGTTTAAGATGGCTGACGCCACGTGTCAAACTCCCGAAATGGCGGCCACCCAGGCACTTAAAGTGTTTGTGAGTTTCCCACAAGAGGTCATAAAAACGAATTGGGAGGTTAATTGAAGTCACACTTAAGCATCAAGGTGGTCCAGTGTTCAGTAGTTTGTGTTCGTATGGTGAATGAAGTATTTCAGTACAGTTTATGGGAACAATTAGACGAACGTTTTAATTCACACGAAAGTCTATGGGGAAAACAATGGAAGGAGAATATGCTGGACAGCCAGGTGGATTTTGCAACAATGGATAGCCCCCGTATTTATATGTAAAACTTAGAAGATAGATGTACAGACGTGAAACATAAATATAATGACGTCTAGCAATAGAGCCTAAAATATGGCCCACACACACAACTCTGCTGCTATGAATATGGTCACTAGTATATTTAAAGGAACACTATAGCATCAGAAATACAAATGTTTATTCCTGACACTATTGTAGCAGACTTCATTACCTTGTGTTCGGTTTTCTGTACCCCCTTGTTTTTCTCTCGAATAGATGGTGTGTGGTCCCCCTTTTATACCTCCCTGAACATCAACCTCCCCTGGCGTTAACCACAAATTAAGTGATTATCACAAGTGCTTTCCATGGGTGGCCACGACTGGTGTAACCGAATGCACGTATTCCAGTGCACGGCAGCCATTTCTCCCCCAAACACAGGCGGTACATGGTTGAATGCCTGGAATTATATTTTCGTCTACGCAAGTCCACGAACGCAGGCAGAGTTCGCACCGCTGCCCGTCCTACTTCCCGACCAACTAGATGAACGCTGTTCTGTAGATCTGAACTACCAACTAAAAGCCAGGGGGAGCGTTTGTTGGTGTTCGCCCAGAAAGCTTGGTCAGAACTTTACACGAATGATGATTTGGACAACTTGGGCACCCAGATCCGGGCTATTCAGGGATATCAGACATTTGAGGTGCCTGTAAAATATTTGCCAATTTTTGTTTATGGTGTTTTCTATATGTTCATGTATTTTCCTGTAACTGAGAGATAATTGAGTTACTCAGTTTGACTCAATTATCTCTCAGACAATGGGATGCCTCGGAGGGACTTGGGTACTTTTGAATGGAGACCCCATGCTGGGGGTCTGTGCATAAAAAGGCTGTGTTTGAGCTGATTAAATCAGTTGTACTCACAGAACTGTGTGTTGTCCAGTTACTGGGGAGGGATAGAGCTAATTACATTTTAGCGCCTTGTTCCTGTCTTCATAGATCCAGTGGAGGAAAAGTCTTTGTCAGGACTAGCACTCTGCTACAACTAGAGTTTTAAAACGCTGTTTAGTGTCTGCATTTAAAGAGGTGTTAAACTCACCATATTTCCAGCCCCACTCACATCCTTGGCTGAGATCATCTAACTCGACAATCTCAGCCAATCCAATGCTTCCCCATAGGAAAGCATTGGGATGTTAACATGCATGTGCAGCACCAATCAGCATCTCTTCATAGAGATCAATCTCTATGTGTCTAGTAATCTCTTACTGCTTAAATTAAAATGCCTGCATTAAGCTGTAGGTATTCTGCTGGCTATAGTGTTCCCTCAAAACAAAATCTGAAACAAGGACAAAAAAAATTAAGTAGCTAGTAAAGATTAAAATATACAAAATTAAGTCCTTTGCTCAAACTCCCACTACTCCTGGGCAGCAGCAATGACTATTGTAAATATCAGCCCCAATGCAAACAATAAAAAAAAAAAAAGAAAATAGTTACTTGCACACCATCCCAAATCCCTTTGCACATTTAAATAACTGGAGATTAATTTTAGTATCACTCCAATGACCATCAAAGTGTAAGATTACCTGCCCTAGAGTAGTGGGAGTTTGAGCGCAGGACTTAATTTTGTATATTTGTATTTGCTATTATGATACACAGCCATGTTACAGAGCTGCTGTAAAACACTATTTAGAGTTAATAAGTATGTTGGGGTTTAGAAAAATACTCAGAGATTTTTACCTGAAGCTGAAATAAGGAAGGTAAATTGCTAGCGAAGGCTTGCCCTCACGTGGCAAGTGAGCTTACACTTATATGGCCATTGGAGTGATACTAAAAGACCTCTAGTTAGGTAGTAAATATAATTTAAGAAATAGTATATGTTACAGTTACCTCCGGGCTAGCTGGAGGTTGGACCGCTTGGATATCCTGGTTCCCGATGTAGGAGAGGTAGAACGTCGCTCCTATGAGCATCCACAAGATTATACTGAAAGTGTAGAATAATCCCACTAGCTATGGCACAGCTAAGATACACTCTTCCCTACAAAACGAGTCGAGGCTGCGATTTGAGGGTAACACAAACTGAATTTAATGGCACTCATGCGGGACAATTTATGCAACTTTCAGACCAAGGGTCAGCCCCTTCTGAACCTGATGGTACACAGGACAATGACATAGTTTATCCAATGGAAACACAGTGCAACATTTGAAAATGTCCCCGCCTAGCTTGGTGATAATTGGCCTTAATGGTTACAATGACCTAATTATCTCCAAGCACATGGAAATACCACATTTTACACCCATGAGAAAATAACATAAAAATATACAACTTTAATATTTTAATGCGAAAATAGTTCATGCGACCATTCGCCGGATAGCTCAGATCTGAGCGCACAAGATGTATGAATCGCGTTTAGATCTCACGAACGATGTGCCAGAGTTCTGATATATAAGTCTGTTCGTACAATCTTGGGCCGAATAGATGGGACAAGCGGCCTCTTAGCGGGATTCGTGCAGTTCCATTGTTGATTACAGTTCCCGAGATTTTACTACCCAGTACCGCTAAACCCTCTCTGGCAACAAGATGGCCGCCACCTCGTGTTCAGTATGCGAACGGGGACCACCTGGGGTTAGGTACTTAGCTTACGGTTAACCACAATTGGAATATACGAACGAGGCCACCTGGATTCCGATTAATTAGGCTGCGGTTAACCACAAACCGCAGCTCCTGGGCGGTTAATTGTTGGCACACTGCGCTGTTCATTAGGTCTTTCGGTGGTTTAAAAGGTGACTGAAGTTAAGTGGAGACACACGACAAGTGCTGGGTGGTCTGCTGTTTGTATATACAAATGGGTAGCACTGTTCATTCATGTATCTGAGAATAGGGAAGTATGAAAACAGTGATAACAGAATATTATCCACAGTAGTGGCAACAATAACCAAAATGTAGAAAAGTATTGTGGCAGATGGAGGGGCTTCCGTAACATCGCTCCCTCCTTATGGAACACTCTGGCAGACACTGTCTGACCCCTTTTCGGGGTAGACTAAGGCTGTCCAGAACTGAGGTTATTCTGGACTGAGGTCTGTCTGGCGGGACAACCCATCGGCGTTGCCTTTTTCCTTCCAGGTCTGTATGGGATAGTAAAATTAAATGGCTGTAGAAACAGGCTCCAGCGTAATAGTCTCCCATTATCTCCCGAGACCCG